ATTCACTTTTTAGACTAAAACCGTGTTGTACAGTTCATCAAAGATTTCCCTTTGAAGATTTCTATTCTCCCACATCCTAAGTTTCCCTCCAGGTGGAAAATTGGAAAATGATTTTTAATGATTTTTAGTTCCCTCTCAATATTTTCGTTCCCCCCAATACTTCCCTCCCAAATTCTCCTACTGAAAACAACTTACCCTAATTTCAATCCGCCATTCTCCTACCCTAATTTCAACCCGCCATTCCTACACCCAACATCGCCGATTTCCACCGCCCCACCCCAACATTCTGTTTCAGGTGCAGAGAAATTACCAGGCTCTCTATGCCCCAAAACAGACATTCTCTTAACCTAAATAGTAATGTTGATTGTTGAAGTTCTGATGTTAAATGGGTTTAGAGTTCATGACCAACATTACCAAGATCAACAAACGGTGGTGCCTCTAACATCGTCGTCTTCATCTAATGGTAGTGGCGCCTCTGATTTCATATTTCTTTGATTTTTAACTCGCACGGATCCTGGCGGCATCGACGAATGAAGTTGACAAAAAAAGGAATTGAAAAGAGGAGTCGTTTGCATCAGGTAGCAATTTATTACATTTCAATACTCAATTTTTGTTCTTGCTATATTTTTTGTTGTTGTCAGTGATGGAACAAGTAATCTGATATATCTCATTTTTCTATTATTTCTCGTTTTCACTTGCTAATCTGTGTTCGGGTGTTCTAACTGTATGTGCGTGTGTTTGATACGTGAAGAGTATGAAACAGGTTGTGACTTTTCAAGGCGTGAGTTACGCTAATTTCATAGGTTCCCACTTTTGGAACTTCCAGGTAAATCTACACCCTTGCTCGTTGTGGATCTAATGATATATTCATGAAACATTACCATCGATCTATTCAACTACGTAGCTTCTCTCATCAATGAATTTTCTGAAGCTTCTCATTTCGTTTTTGTTGTTTCCCTTTTTAAGGATGGATTGTTGTGTCATTCAAATGTGGTTTATGAATCTGCGATTCATTCTATTTCTCTTCCTTTTCAGATGAAAAGAATCGGTCCTAATGGTGAATCGCGGAATGAATTTGGGGCCATCTATTTATATGAAGGGATGCAAATTATATCATGGAAAGGGAGGTAAGATTTTGTTACTGTCCTCAATGGTGCAATGACAACACCATCATTAGTGGGTATATTTTTGTCCAAAATCAGTGAATTAATTTTTTATCACAGTTGTATTGTTTATAATATGGTAATTTATTAATCCAGGTAGACAATTTAAGAAATCTTTGCTTGAAAACTTGCAATTTTTGACCCCTGAAACGGCACATGATGTGGAAGACTTGCAAGCCATTGAATCAGTTATTGTGCAGGGATCCCTTGGACTGGTATGCAAACATGTTTGTTTTGTGTTTTTTTAAGCACCTTGACATAGCCTTTTTGTATTGATCTGTTTTCTTGTTCTTGAAATAGGTATTGTAGATACAAAAGTGTTGCTAGAATTGTTCTCGATGTATGAAGAATGGCAAGAAAAGTTGGGTGAAATAAAATCCAAAGAACTTTTCATTGTAGAATTAAGGGATTTAGAAAGAGTAAGAAATATGTTTTTTTTTCTCTTTGCAAATATTAGTACGTATGTTTGGATACGTACAAGTATATATACCTGATTATGTACCAAAAAGTCTCTAATTTTACAAGGATTCTATAGGATCATGTTATGCATTGAATTAAGCCTTAGACTGTTGGTGTATGTGTTTATTTGGTTGTATTTCAAGCTTTTATTTTTAGTTATGATACTTGATGAATGTGAAGTGATTGTCCCCTTTTTCTAGTTGTGAATTGGAACCATAATGTATTGGCATTACCGATTCAATAAAAATGTCAAAAAAAAAGTTAAAAGCAGTAAAAGGACCCGGTTATATGTTAGAGAACCGGGGTACATGGTGATACAAAAATGCTTCTGCTTAGTATGAAAAGGACCCGGTTTTGTTCAAAGGAACCGGGTTATATTATATTAATAGGCCCCGGTTGTTAAACCGGGTTTTATTACTTTTTTAAAATATGACTTGCCTATAAGAAACCCGGTTGGAAATCGGGTTCTTTTAAGCTTTTAACCGGGTTCTTTTACCCATTTTGTAGTAGTGAATATGTTTATAAGACAATATCAATACTTAGATGTCAAAACATCTCGCATTTTAATCATTTAGGGCAACTCCAACAACAAAACACTAAAACACACTAAAATGGTAATCTTTTAACATCAAAATAGAATTTTCATTCCAATCACACACTAAAAGTTTATACTAAAAACATATTCTATTAACATTATAATAAGTCAACATATTCTTTATTATTATATAATTCTATTTAACTTATTTGTTATAACATCTAAATTAACATTAATAACATTATATTGTTAGAAAAAATACATTACATTAATATCCTGAAAGTTACAAATATAATATAATACTATAATTAAAAAGCCGCTGCATTTGTGAAGAAATTATGATAGCTAAAGATTTTATAATGATAATTATTAATAGTTTTGAAAATCCTTTATTGAATAAATTATTAAAAATTTAATATAAAAGTAATTTCGTGTTGGAGAAAAGCACCACCAAATATGGCTGTCAAAATTTATCCCACAATAATAACGGCTATTATGCCATATGATTGGAGAAAAATTTGACAAAATTCCACCATTTTACCAGTTGGATTTGGTCTTATACAAGATTTGGTGATTTGAGGCGCTAAAATTTCTAAATAATAATTATTTTACATTCTACTTTTTCAACATATTTGGTTGCCAAATCCATCCAACGTTACATACTTTTATTAAAATTTCATTCCACACTCATGTGTGCTCGTATATGTTAAAAGTACTGTAGCATTTTAGTTTGACGTTTTGGTCTTTTTTTTTGCTTAACCAAAATACCTATTTTCTCAATCCAAACTTGCTATTTCTTTCATTTTTGCACTTTTTAATGATAAGGGATCACACTAGTTAAGTTTAGGGTCCTTTCGAAAAAAAAAACAATTTTCACTTTTAAAGTTTAACGGGCAATTTATAAATTTTGAGCCTTTTTTTTTATCAAACTTTGACATTTTTAGCTTATAACTCATTATTCAAGTTTAATTAACTTAATCTAAGCTAACTTTATTCAATTTATCCAAAAATTCCCAAATTTTTAAAAAATCAACCAGAAAGTCAAAACTAGTTTTTGACAGCATCAAAAGTGAATCTGGAGCTGACCTCTAACCTTCACTATATTTGCATATGATCGTCGAATGAGTTGATTCGTTTTGCTGCACCTTCCTCTCATGCCACACTATATCTTATGATCAAGAATCAATTGATTTAGATATGTATAGCTCAAGTTATAAAGCTCCAAAAATGATATCTCCACACTTTAATTTTTCAGCATTAGAAAAATTCAGCATTTCCAGCCTTGTGCAGAATTTTTCCTCAACTTTGTACATTCATAAATTTTTCATACGAAGTCGGATTTGGTTGATTTTTTTTTTCATATGTGCTTTGTGTTGTATTGAATACAAAGTAGAACAAAAAATCAACCGATTTGTTTCATTTATGTTTAAGTTACATAGCCTCAAACATGGGCTGCTTGGCATAAAAATACTAATATTTTGCACTTATAAAATTACCTATTTTTATGGGTCTTTCCATTCCAATAATGGATTATATGTTAAATAATTTAATGTATTCTAAACTTGTTGTTATCATATAGTAGCTTCAAAACGTTTGTATCTGCTCAAGTTCTAATACTTTTTTCATAAATATAAATCAAGTTTAATAGTACTTCCATGGTTTTAAAGGATGGAATTCATGATTCCATTCCATTTTGTTATTTTACCAACATCATCTATATATTGCATAATGTCTACTAAAATGTTAACACCATCATCTTTATCTTAATTATCTAAATTTTAAAGTCCAATTTCAACACCAAACAAAGTGGATGTTTGTGTTCTGTTTTGTTCTCCCGATCATTCTAGAGAAGCACAAGGAAAACCTTTTATTAACCTTTCATGAAAAAGTTGCTGATATTTGAAATGAATTGGATTTTGGATGTATTTTTTATAAGATTGGGGTGTTACATACCTTCCTGACAAGTATATCCGATATAATGGAGTATTATTAACCTTTCCTCCTAGTTGGGATTGAAATCAACAAGTTGTCATTACGATATATTTTCAAGAAATACAAAACATACCATGCTATAAATTGAGAATATCTGACTGGTTGTGAGGAGTGTGGATGTGCATACATCAAATATGTTTTATGCACTACTAGAAAACAGACCTTTAATGACACGCTTTTTACGACACACACTGATTAATGATACGCAAAAGTGCGTGCCCTAAAAATAATGTCAGATCTTTAGAAATTTGAAGAATTTAGGACGCGCATTTTTGCGTGCCCTAAAATTAGTGTCTAAAAAAAAACATGGAGGGCGCTTATGTTAAATGCGTGTCGTCTAGAAATGTCACTTTATAATTTTACAAACGCGCTCTTCAGCAACTAGCAGCGGGAAAAAGGAAATCAAAAAAATTAGAAAACCCGCCTTCCTTGTTTCCCCTCTTTAGCTCTGGGTGTGTTCTTTTACCACAAAAATCTTCTCTGGTCTTCCTCCGCCTCCTTATATCGAGTGTTGATTGCTTCTTTCCCTTGCACTCCGACCGCCGCCACCGATTCTTCCCCGTTCATTGACATCGATCAAGGCAACAGGCACGCCATCTTCCATTCTCTCTTGCTGATCGAGACATTCAAGTATATACATATTTACATTACGCCTTCAACAATTGAAACCCTAACCATAGTTGTTCCTCAGTTATATGCACTACACTATTTATGTAGTGAATTGACTTGTTTTCTGTGTCCATTATCCTCATCACAAAACAGCATCAAGTCTAGGGCTTTTTTCACAAAATCACATCCAGTATCCTCATTCCACACGATGGCAAGAACGCTTAACAACGGTGGCGACCTTGATGAGGCTCGCCTCACCTCGTCGGCAACCTCCTACTTACCTCACCTCATCGGCGAATCCAATTCCCCTCTACCTTACTCCAACTCGATCGGACTCACCTCACTTACTTCTACCCACTGGAACCGATCAAGTAAGTTTATATTACACAAATAAGACATAACTAAAAATAATGATGTTGAAGTTGAAGCACAAAGAGGCAGATGGAAGGGAGAGGTACACTAACTTATTTCTCTTATCTTTTTCTTTCACAATCTCATCATTTTGCTCTGTTTTGGGTACTTATTACATATAACATCTATGTTCTATTATCATCATTCATTGTTTTCTTTTGTGTTTTTACAGGAGCGTGATAGTTACTGGAGGTCAATGCAGAAGTATGTAGGTGCTGATATCACATCAATGGTGACTCTACCGGTACTCATTTTTGAACCCATGACAATGCTACAGAAAATGGCAGAGGTATTTCCCAACACCGATATGTTTCTATAATCTATATCTTCTTCTTCTTCTTCTATAATTGTTCATAGTAAAGTAGTAATGAGTAAGAGACTTTTATTGTTTTTGTAGTTGATGGAATACGCCCATCTTTTAGAGCAAGCAGATAATTGTGAGGATCCATACATGCGATTAGTATATACAGGTAAGAATCATTACCCTTAATTCCTTACACACATAGACACACACTACACTGATACACTCCTCTTTCTATATAAATTTTCAAAACCATGAATTTTTTTTCCTATTACAGCATCATGGTTTATATCAATATATTATGCTCTACAACGAACCTGGAAGCCTTTCAATCCAATTCTTGGTGAAACATATGAAATGGTTAATCATTGTGGCATTACATTTATTGCAGAGCAGGTAAAAAAAAACTTTAAAGATCTTTCATATTTTTAAGAGTTTATTAATTTGATAATACGTTAATGTAAAAATTAGGTGAGTCATCACCCTCCAATAAGTGTTGCACATGCTGAAAATGAGCATTTTGTATATGATATAACTTCAAAGGTGAAGACCAAGTTTCTTGGTAACTCTGTTGATGTTTATCCTCTTCGAAGGTAAATAACTAACTCTACCATGTTTTTTTTTAAATATAAAAAATATGGATGATATGTTGTTATAATTGCAGAACTCGTTTGAAGCTAAAGAAAGATGGAGTAATTCTAGAATTAGTACCGCCTCCAACAAAAGTCAACAATTTAATATTTGGAAGAACATGGATTGATTCCCCAGGGGAGATGGTTTTGACCAATTTGACATCACGAGATAAAGTTGTCCTCTATTTTCAACCTTGTGGTTGGTTCGGGTGCGTGGTTTTTAAATACACAAAAGTAAACTTCAATTTTTTTTACATTGTATATAAATTTACTTTTTTTTGTTTTTTAATTTGTGTGCAGTGTTGGACGACATGAAGTGGATGGATATGTATACAATTTAGAAGAATAACCAAAAATATTAATGCCAGGAAAATGGAATGAATCCATGAGCTATCAGCCTTGTGATTATGAAGGGGAACCTCTCCCAAATACTGAACTCACACAGGTAGGTTTCAATATTTTAGATTCATATATTTTAATTTTTATTGGTAGATATTCAATAATAAGAGCAGATCCGGATGATGTGAGTCTTAGATATCACCGTGCCTCGATTTATGTTGAGCTTGGAAACTATCACAAGGCTGCTGAATCATATGAGCAAATCTGGCAACTTCGTCCTCAAAATCTTGAAGCATTGAAGACAGCAGCTATGGTTTCGACTTTGGACTTACAAATCTATATATAATATATGTTATTTTCCAATTTGAATGAATGGGTATTAATTAACTTTTTTGGTATTTTCAGATGTACCAAAGATGTAGTCAGCATGATCGCATTGTCAGCATTCTTGACGATTATTTGAGAAAGAACCCAAAAGATGTTGATGTGAGTGTGGTTCATTTATTGGCTTCAATGCATATGTTGGGAAATGCACATGACAAAGCTCTTCACCATATTGAGTATGCACAACAGAATTATTCTGCTGCTAAAGACTTACCTGTTGATCTTGGAAACATGGAAAAAGCATAGGTATTTTTTTTAAAGGACTCCTTTATATATCATGGATTGGGATAAGAAGAAATGGAAGTATAACGCTATAATAGAATTTTTTGTGGAAAGAACATTACTATTTCATATATTTAGCCCTTGAGTGACTTGTTTCTCTTTGAAACTAACCTTGTTCTCTTCTGTTGTCAAATGTTTGTACGCTTTCTTCTGTGTTTTCACACATGAGATTGTAAATGATTATTCTCACTTAATTATTGAAGCTGCTGACTCATTAATGACCGTAAAGCACCATGCATGAATCCGCATTGAAGTACTACCTTATGTTAGAAGGGAATGATGGTGTCAATAAAGTAAGTAAATAATTACAACCATGAAGGATAATTATTATCATTTTCTATTGCTTTTCAATTCATGAACTGGTTTTAAACAGGCCTTCTTTATGAAACCTTGGCTTATATTGATTATTGAGATGATACTATCTAAAATAAGATTTAGAAAGTTTGTGCATTGTGCCAGAATGGCACCAGAAAAGAAGTTGAGACAAGAGGATTTCCCTGGAGCAAACTTTGAAGAATTATTGGCATAAATGACATATGGAATGAGAAGAAAAAGAAAGGTATACCATCATCTAGACTTTCTTTTCAGTCTTGATTCTTAGTCCTACTATTAGTGTGTGTGTGTGTGTATATATATATATGTTTAATGAATGCATAGTTGTAACATTCATAGTCAGTCTCTTGTTGATATATATATATATATATATATATATATATATATCATCAACATAATTGCTTCTTCTTTGTATGGCTAGTTCTCCTCTATTGACCATGGAGTAAGCAAGCTGTCTCTTCTGTCAAAGGTTAGAATCGCGAATTACAATCAAGACTTGTGATTAGTTGTATATGTTGGATAGTAGATTATTTGACATTTTTTGCAACAGGTGTTAACAATGACTGTGAGATTCATTCAAAAGGATGCATAGGAGAAGAAAACATCATTCAACCCCAGACCGTATTTCAAGTTATTCATTGATTGGCTGCTTGACCTTAGTACCCTTGATCCGGTTTTTGAAAGTGCAAACTTTCAGGTGTGTATTCACTTTTCTCTTTTCTCTATCATATCATCTCGTATTGTATTGCATGTTAAGTTACCGATTTGCCTTGTGCATGTTTTGATAGCTCTAGCAACCTCCTTCCATGCCCTGTTGCCTCTCAAAGTTCCTGCATTCAGGTTATTCTCTTAGAAAGGAAATTGTCAAAGGAGATTGTCAAAGGAGAATTTAGTCATGGGTTTCTTTTAATGTTGTACATGTTTTGTTTTCTATAATAAATATTATGCAATATTAGCAATGTGTTACATTTACTTACTATTGGAATGATTATTTGTATTTGGCATATTAATGCAATGAATTATCTTTATTGTTTATGGTATTTTATTTTGTATTATGAGACTTTTAATGTGTTATTTAATTTGAAAATTAGTAAATCTATTAAAAATATAAAATTTTAAAAACATTTAAAATTATGACACGCAAAAATGTGTGTCGTCTTCCTTTACGACAGGGGCTTCCTTGATACGCATTGCGTGTCATAAACACGCACGTCGTAAGGTTACGACACGCAAATGCGTGTCGTCTTCCTTTATGACAGGGCCTTTCTTGATACGCATTGCGTGTCATAACTGCGCTTCGTAAATGCGCGTCATAAATGTGCGTCGTAAATAGACGACGCTGAAAAGCGTGTCGTCTCTCGTTATGACAGAGTCTTCCTTGACACGCATTTGCGCGTCGTCTGAGCGTTTTATGACACGCATTGCACGTCGTAAAAGGCTGTTTTTCTAGTAGTGATGGTAATCAAGATCTAATATATCATTTAAGAAAATTAGATTAACGTTATGATTGTTTTCTCTAGCTCTCTTCATGTTTGTATGTTTATTATTCGTAGAACATTAAGGGCTTGTTTAGTATGATGAAACGAAATCATCAAAGAATGGAATATGAACAATATAATGGACTTAGCAAAGTGATTAATGAAATAGATCGTTACATTCTACTGCTTGGTTGGCATGAAAGAATGGAATGAATCATTAAAACATATTGTTTCTTTATTAATATATAAATAGAAACCCAAGGGCAGAGGGAGTAGACCACTCCCAACCTATCCAACTCAATATCAACTTTTCTCTTTCTTCTCTCTTCCATCTTTCCTAATCCACTATACATGTAAAACCATATTCGTAGCCCATTTAACCCATTAACTAATTAAAAACATGCAACATTATTTTATTACAAGCTTTTATGCATGAAGTACAAGTTTCAGAGAGAGAGAGAGAGAGAGAGAGGGAGGGAGGGAGAGGGAGGGGTTCCCCTACAACCCGCAAGAGGCTTCTTCTGGTGGTACCCACCAAACTCAAATCCATCACCCAGGCGGTACTGCTGGAGCCTGTTCACAACTCCGAGCACCCTAAATGGAGTAAATTGATAAATAACGAAAAGAACACAATTTTAGGATAATAAACTTTAATTAAATCAAAACATATTATAGTCATTTTGATGCCCATTCCACCCTACACCTACAACCACACCTATACATACACACACTTGCTGAGGCCCACACTAACAAGCCCACACCCTACACCTACAACCACACCTATACATACACACACTTGCTGAGGCCCACACTAACAAGCCCATATATGTTTGAGCAAGTAAGAATTTAATGAATGAATGTTTTAAAAAGTAACAAGTAACAAAAAATCAATAAAAAAAATATTTTGGTCATCTTACCTAATGTACTTTCTAGTTTATTTGACAAATCTATAAACTAAACAAAAAACCAAAAAGAAAATAGATTTCATTTCATGTCAAACAAAATCGTTATAGATTCCAATTTCTTCATATTTTAATACTTTGACATAATCATTCATTCCAACTACATTCTGCGAACCAAACGCCTCCCAATCCTTTTCAAAATGTAGACGACAAGACAAACAGTTGATGTCCCTCCCGTTAACACAAATAGTGTCGAGAAGCTCTGAGGGCTAAGACTCTCATATTCGTTAGGAAACGATTCATCATCGTCCACACACTTCTCGGAGGTAAGAAACGTGTCTTCAAGTTTTTTCAGTTTCCCACTTTCTGATGCAGTCATTAAGGCTTTGTTTGCCTCAGAAAGCCATGAAAATTCCCTTGGAAATGCCTGCATGCAATTTAATTTGACTTTTTAGGTTAAAAAAAACTTTGGAATTCGTAGAATCGACCTCAAAAGTTAAACTGACGAAACCACTTACGAATCCAAATCCACCAACTTTGAATGTCTCTCCAGTTCTAACGAAGCTCTTGCAGTACTGAGCTAGGAAGACTTTGGCTACCGGAACTTCAAGAAATATGGCGGCGATTTCGCCTCTGTTTAGGGCTTGTGCATATTGAGGAGTTGAGTTATAGCTCTTAATCTTGATGCTCTTGAAACCGAGAACATCCTTCAAGTAGTGGTTGATAAAGGACCCGTTGCAGTACCCCACTGTTGCATTCATGTTCCTGAGCATCTCAACACTGGTTATGGTGGGTTCGAGTTGTTGAGCAGTTAGCATGCTGGCCAAGCTAGCCGTGTAGCTCTGTGTGATGTTTAGAGCCACAAACAGCCAGACGACAACAGCCACTCTTGACCAATCGCTACACAACCTGTCCCATGAAAATGATTATGTGTGATACGAAGAGATCAAAGATTAGAAAAAGTTTGTAAGTTTGTAAATGGTACCTCGCAAAGTAAAGAGTGTAGCGAATGCAAGCCAAATGATGGAGCCTTGAAGATAGTTAGGGTGGGGTCTCTCGATCAACCAAATGACGAAGTCGTTGTAAAGGGTGATTGCTGCTATTAACCACCACATTCCAGCAGTGAAAGGCGCCATAAACAACCATGGCTGGTTTGATAATTTGGATCGGTTGGGGACGATCATCTCCAAACCAGATTCGGTGTATGGTTGTGTGAAATCGACGTAGTCGTGCCTTCTCGCCACAATTGTTACATCGCCTGCTATCGCGTCAAATTTATGTTTAGAATTAAGAAAAGAAGAAGACAAAAAATCAGTGATATACGTCAAAATTTAGGGTTCGGTTTTGTAGAAGATAGAGTTGTTATGATGACAGACCTCTGCTGGTATTTGGCTTATCAGCTCATCATAAGAACCATTGAATGGAAAATAATCGTATGGCAATTTCAATTCTCTCATCATCTCATCAAACACAGCGATTGCGAATCCACTAATGACAGTTTCATTCTTCTTGGGATTATATTCCACGTTTACGAATTGCTTAAACAGAGATCTACCAGGCACGCCGACCCTCATCCGAATCTCTGTACTTTTGGCTTGATCCTGGCACTTTTTATTGGCATACCACGGTTGCGCAGACCACAAAGCTTGCCCGACTTTGTCCATTGCTTTATTGACGCCATCGTCAATTGTCTCTGAAAACCCTGATCCTTCGGTCCTGTGCACACTGTGATATCCCTTTCCTACCACGGTCACGATCTCCACAGTACTCTGCGGGGGTGGAATTTTGTGATCAAAGTTTTCAGGTGACATTTCTTCTAATAATTTCACGGTTTTGTATCCTTGCACGACAAAAATTCCAGGTTCGTCCTCCTCTTCTTCTGGGTAATCGGAACTGGAATTTTGACGGAATCTTTTTCTGAAATCTCTAAAATCCGGCGTGTTATCCTGAAAGTAGCTTTTGACACCAGCCATGCCTTTCAATGAAGAAATCGTGGAATGAAAACGATCTGTGATTCCATTAGTTGCAATCCATAGGTACCTAACTCCGGTCATTTCCATCTCCGTGACTTCCTGAAAGAGACGAATCCCGAGTTCCAGAGATGTATGAGTTACAAAGAATTTAACTTGTTGTTTCTTGAACACCTCAAGCTCTTCTTCTAACAAACATGAACCAGATGTGAGTGGTAAGATATGGTTTAGCTCAGAACCTGTTTGTCGAAATGCCTGAGAGAGAGGAGAGATGATTGATGCTGTTGAGGCTAGATGTGAAGCTTCATATATGATAACCTCGGCTATGGCAGAAGCTTCTTCCCATGTATGACTTCCCAAAATGGCTTTCAAATTGTCTTTATTAATAAGATGTTTTGCTGCATTCCCACATCATCTCTCAGTATGTTAGCATATGGGTACGATTCAAAACAACCAAATTAAACTTCTTTCACATGAATTTGACAACTTTTGAATAAGAAAAACAGAATAATTTACCTGCATATGCTGCATGAAGGGGTTTGTTTCGAGAGTTTTGAAGATATAAAACAGAAGTCTGATTGATTTTGTTTGTTGTGAAATCTTGAATTGCTATCTCAATGGCTACTTTGGCCTCTTTTCCAGGCCTAGAAGCTTGATCAAGAATCACACCAATGCTGAAATCTGCACTGATCACTGATGCTTGCATAAGAAACCACAGCATTGAGAAAGCCACCAGAGAAGACAACGAAACCCACAGTCTCCAGCGAAGCTGATGAAGGTATTGACGATCTGAAACCCTCTAACCCACCCAACCCCGACGAAGAAGGTTGGTCGATTTCCTCTCTAGTTTCTGATTTCTTGGTTTCAACAACCCCAGATCACGCACCTCTCGTCCCCCCTCTCTCTCTCGCCGGAAAGCATCATCACCATTACTAATCTTGGTCTCAACAACTCCGATCTTCTCAAAACTTCGGTAACGAATTTCGACATAGATGCAAGTTACCGGCGGCGAGGAATTAGACCCAGATTACTTTATTATGATTTTTATTTCATCAATAGGTAGCGTATCTTTATCTCTTAATCATCTATCATTTATTCAATGTTTACGTCAATTACCTTTTCCAAGTCTCTGATTGGTTTATGAACTGTGAAATTGTAATCTTAATTTGGTAAATTGGCTTTGATTTTAGGGGAAAATATTTGTGAATATAAATAGAAGCCAATTGGTGATTTTGAACCTGTAATCAAAGCTAAGCTAGTGGAATCTTTACATAAGCTCGAAAAGTATGGGACGCCTGTTCCAGTAAATTGACTCTCCTCTTGGGCGGATACGACATTCAATTGACTGAATAGATGGCTCTTCTTCACCAGCTGAATCGTATTCTCCTATCAAAGTGAGAGAAAGCAATAAGCAAATACAATAACAGGAAATAAGGACGTATGATAAGAGCTTATTCCAAACTATTAAATGCCAAAAAATGAGGATGGGAGAGATGATCCGGGTGGAGTGGACAGTGTAGACATTGGAAGAAGGTTCCATGAAATAAACTAGGTTGATGGGTTATGGGTTATTTGTGTGTGTGTGAACGAATGAACGTTTGTTATAAACAAGGTTTGATTTTTTTCCTGGTTTGATTGGTTTATCATGAGGTTGAAAATCGAGGACTTATTTTATTTGGAACTTGGTTGCAGTTGCCGTTTCTTAGAAAAATGGTTTGGTTTGGTTTTAATTTCAGGTTTAAGGTTTCATTTTGATTTAGTGTCGTTAGATTAGATTGGTCGGGTTATTGGTGGTGTTGTAAGCCGGTTGTCGGAGTTGGTTTCAAGGGCGGTGGTGGGTGGTCATGTGGACTGTGGATTAAAGAGCAATAATGTTGGAGAGAGAGAGACGAGTGGAGAGAGAGAGGAGAGTGGAGAGAGGAGGCGAGAGCGAGAGAGCGAGGAGAGAGAGCGAGAGAGAGAGAGAGAGAGAGAGAGAGAGAGAGAGAGAGAGAGAGAGGAGAGAGAGAGAGAGAGAGGTGGGGCCCATTTTTTTATTTAATAATCATAATAATTTTAAAAAGTGAAAGAAAAATTAAAACTAAATTCATTAAGGGTATAATAGTCTTTTTAGTTTGGACAGGGACCAAAACTGCATGTAAACCAGCTCAAAAGGACCATCAATCCAAAAAAGTCGAGGTTTGGACTTATTTCTCGTTTTGTAATCTCAAAAATTTCTTGGAAGCTTTCTTGATAACTGTTTTAATATGAATAAAAGTGTCTTAAACTCTTAATCTGAAAGAGCTATGGCCAATGGTTTAAAATGCAATGACATTTTGATTATCTTTATTACTCATTCAAACTCTTACAAGGCAAAGGCCCTTTTTGTCTACGTGTGTCATTTTCAGAAGTCAACATGTAAGAGACTGTGACGTGATCATCCATCCATATGCTCTTACATTAATATCTATAAATAATTAAGATAAAACTGCAAAAAGTCTCCGTAATTGTCACTTTTGTCTAAAAAGGTTTAAACTAGCACCGGAGGTCCAAACATTTCATTTTTTTGCGAATTTGGTCCAATTTCCTTTGAACTTTTTTATAATGACAATTTTGCCATTTTTCCTTTTTCATTTTTTTATTAATTTATTAGTTTTTTGATTAAAATAGATAAAAACAAAATAGAAAGCCAATTAGAACACACCATCTCCACGCCACTGTCGGAGAATCAGAATGCCGCTACCATCTTCCTCAGCAAACCCTTCGTCGAAGTTTAAGCGAACAACTCCATCTTCACTCACCTTCTCAGGCGACCATGTTCCTAGCAAACCCTTCGATTATAACAACGATCTGGGTGGGTGTTGTAGATACAGAAGGAGGGAGGCCATGAGGCGACAACGGTTCAAGATGAACAGAACATAAGGAGGGAAGATTGAGGAAGATCTCTAAAGTCCAACGAATAGATCTGAACTCTTGTGAACTGTTGAAATAATTCAGAGTTCAGGTGTTTTTCTGCACATTTTTAAATTAGTATTACTTAGTTTTTCATTGAATAAATCAAAGATCACGTGAATATGATTCCCTGGTCTTTAGCATGTAGCTAGTTAGTTCCTATTTTTCTGCTAAGTTCCTAGTTTAAATAGAAAGGAAAATGTACGTTGTGATTGTATCTTCCTGTTTACTTTTCTTGCTGCTCAGTGAATAAAACAATACCACTTTGCCTCATTTATCTCTTTGTTTCACATGTGCTCTGTGCTCACTGTGCAGATTATTAAAGTTGCTTATTCCAGTTTTACCCCTCCTATCACTTATCATTTTTGTCCCCTGTGTAGTTTACTTTCCAGTCCCTTGTTTCTCTTTTGGTACAAAGTCCTTGTCACCCCTACAAAAGACCAACATTTGGTATCAGAGCTTTCAGGTGCATGCCCAAGTACCCAGTCTCGAGAAGAGATGTCTGGAAATAATGGAAATGGCGACAAGGAAAGTCAGATCACTTTTCACTACCCTATGCTCACCCGGAGTAATTATGGTGCATGGGCTATAAAGATGAGGGTATTCATGCAAGCTCAAGGAGTTTGGGAAGCAGTGGAGCCCAGAACTCAGAACACGGTTGTAGAAGTAAAGAAGGATAAGATGGCACTGGCGGCCATCTACCAAGGCATTCCTGAAGACTTGCTACTCTCGTTGGCAGAGAAGAAGACAGCCAAACAGGCATGGGATGCCTTGAAGACCATGCTTATGGGAGAAGATAGGGTGAAGACAGCTAGAATACAGACACTGAAGACAGAGTTTGAAGCCATGATAATGAAGGAGACAGAAGGGATAGATGACTTTGCTGCAAAAATATGCAACATAGTGAGTACTATGCGCACCCTTGGGGACACTATAGAGGAGTCCTATGTTGTGAAGAAACTGCTGAGAGCAGTACCACCCAAGTTTCTCCAGATTGCTTCTACAATTGAGCAATTTGGAGATATAAACTCCATGTACGTTGAAGAAGTGATTGGAAGACTTAAAGCCTATGAAGAACGGATGAAAGGCCATGGTGAGACAGAAGATAGAAAGCTTCTCATGAACTATCAGCAGTGGTCGGAGAAGAACAAGAAGAAGGGTGATGGTGACTCAAAAACAAAAACAAACCGTAGTGGTTTCAATGGGTCACGTGGAAGAGAAAGAGGCAGAGGAAGAGGTCGTGGTGGTCGTGGCAGAGGTGGTTACTATAATCAAGGAGGCCAAGGCACATCAAGAAGTCAAGATAAAAGTAATGTGCAGTGCTACAATTGCCAGGAGTTCGGGCACTATGCAGCAGAGTGTAAGAACCCAAAGAAAGAAAGTAATCAAGAAAGTAACTTAGTCCAGGATGATAACGAACCAACTTTGTTGGTTTCATCTTTTGAAGTCAAAGAAGAAACATGAGAAGTGTTCCTAAATGAAGAAAAGGTGAAGCCTGAATTAAAACCAAATGGTGGTGTCTTGAATCAGTAAAAAATGTGGTATCTTGACACTGGTGCAAGTAACCACATGACTGGAGATGAAGGTAAGTTCCAAAACCTGGACAGAAAAGTTCATGGTGTTGTGAAATTTGGAAATGAATCCAAAGTAAGAATCAAAGGGAAAGGATCGATTCTACTACAGTGTAAGAATGGAGAAGAAAAAAGGTTGAAGGATGTGTATTACATACCTGATCTTTGCAGTAATATAATTAGTCTTGGGCAGCTTTCTGAAGGAGGTGATGAGATCATAATTAAGGAGCCTTTCCTATGGGTACATGATGATACTAAAAGGTTGCTAATGAAGGTGAAGAAGTCTCCAAACCGGCTCTACAAAATCCAACTAGAAGAGGGTCACACCAAGGTGTTTAATAGCCAATCTTAGTGATCCAACATGGTTGTGGCACACAAGGCTGGGCCATGTGAACTTCACCTCTTTGAAGGCTATGTCTGAAAAGGACTTGATTGAAGGAATTCCCAAGGTGGTGGTGCCATCGGAACCATGTGAAAGATGTTTAATAGGGAAGCAAACAAGAACACCATTCCCATCAAGTACGAACTTCAGGGCCACGAAGAAACTAGAGCTGGTACAGGGCGATCTGTGTGGACCAGTCTCACCTCCAACACCTGCAGGCAACAGATACTTCATGATATTAGTCGATGATGTGACATCCCCATTTTCACGGCCAGAAAAGACCGATTTTGTTTATGCTTTATAAAAATCAGAGTACTTTCTTAAAAAAATGTTGCGGAATTTGTCCCAGTAAAACATGATAAATACGTTATCAAAGCATTTCGAAGAAATGTATTTTTATTCAATTTTAAAACATTTGGGATGTCATCGTCAATACCGAAACATAAGCATAAACAGAACTTACATTCATTTACACTAGTGATCTACATCTCTTTTAAATCTCTCAGTGTAATGTAACTTCATATTGACACTTGTGATAGAAATAAGCTGGAGTGGGTCAGGTTGGAAAACCTGGTGAGTACATAGGGTTTTCAACCCACAATAATATAATTATTTGTTTTAAACATCAAACAATCAACCCAATTACCCATCCCCATTATCTTCTTTACTCTTAAGGATCTACCCTAAGAATCAACTATTCCTCGTTCATTCATTCCTAAGGATCATCCTAAGGAATCGGAACGAAGTCCATCGTCACCGGGGTTTAGGCACTAAGTCTGCATAGTCGTCAGGATTTATACAACATGCACTAAGTCTTCATAGTCACCATGGTTTAGG